GATTTTTATCTACCTCAACTCAATTCAGAAGAATGAGTCATCCTCATTCAAATAATCAGCCAAATACGGCTCGGCAAGCAGTGCCGGTGATGAATTAATAATTGACACCGGCGAATCACGCGGTGTAGAAGAACAAATTGGTGAAAACCATGTTGGCGTTGTTGTTTCTTCTGATATTGTTGAACTCTTTAAATTTATAAATAATATTTTGTTTTTATAAAAAATAAATACTTCAATTGAAGAAACGTCCATCATCTCAACTCGGACGCCTTCATTTTTCCAAAAAGGCTCCATTTCTTTTTCAGCCTCTGGTTGTTTCAAAAAAGGATGCATTTCCCCTTTGTAATTTACACACTGCATATTCTTTACAGAATTTACAATTTCCATAAAATTAAGTTTTGAAACCCGCACCCAGAATTCCTAATAAATAAAGAAAATTTCTTAAGAATAGATATAAATATTACGTCTGGAAGTGGATCAACTGACGAAATATTAATTTTGCCTGTCAAGGCATTCTGCACCAATCCATAATGTGGTAAGTAATAAGGATTGGGGATCGTTAGAAAGTGTGGATACTTCTCTATGAAAGAGGAAATGTGTGGCTGAGTAGTTTGTATAGACTTGTCAGCCTAAATTTTATTTTTAAATACTTTATCAGATATTTATAGCTTACTTTTTTTGGCTTAAAGAAAGTAGTAATTTTTATTTGTTTCATTTTAAATAGGGTCAGAAAGAGAGCTGAAAATCAACAAAGATTTACTGTAAATATTCTAAAATGAAAAATAATAATTAAATGCAAATTATTAAAAGAAATTCTAGTGAAAATATAAAATAATATTTATAAATTAAATTAAAAAATAAATTATTTAAATTTAAATGATAAATTGAAAATATTAAATAATAGATCAAAAATATTTAGATAATAATAAATTATTGAAAAATAATCTATGAATAAATTTATATTCTTATAAAATAAATTCCTATTTTTATAAAATTTATGGAAGGAGAAATATCTCTCCTTTCTCGAATATTTCCAAATGAATGTGAGGAGAGGCATGACCATATATAGCCATTCTCATATTCAAAGGAGATTTTCTCGACCGCCCATTTTCATCCATTTTACACTATATGCCTCACGAAGGGCGTGGCTTATTTTTATAAACTTTTTTAATTAAAAATTTTAAAAATTAAACTTTTTAAGGTTAAATTAAATTTCCTGCTATTTTCTAAAATCATTCTTAAAATTTTTCCAAAAAATAATGGCAATCAATATGTCCAACAAAAAAGCTCTCATAGGACAGATTCTTCCCGAAATAGAATTTAATATAACTGCGAATGGTCTCACTATTTCTGCTTCTGAGCGTATTTCTACCCCTCGTTTTGTACCATTCGACCATGCCGGTCGCTGTCGAGAATGTAAGGGATCCGAAGTGGAACTCGACTTTGTTGTCACCAAAGAGGGAGTGACTTGTTATTGTACGCGAATCAAAACACCTACGTTCATACCATTTGACACAATCCATGATCTTCCAGGCCACTGCTTTTTTAAGGTATTTATTATTAAAATTTAATAATTCTATTTTTTCAAAATTATAGATCAAGAACAAAGGCCGAATTTTCAACATTGAACATGGATCCCCACCATGTGCAGCGACTCCTATTATTAAAAATATTCAGCCTGAGAAAAATGATGTTGAAGTATCACCAATAAAACCGCCTTCACCTAAAAAGATAAAGCAAGAAATCCCAGCCGATGAAGAATTCGAAAATATTCTTCAGGAATTCTTCGACAACATAGGCACTACTAATTCCACTACTACGAGTGAAGTTAAGATAGAAAAAGAAATTTGCCAAGAAAAAATTAAAGAAGAACAGAAAAAAGAGGTTATAGAAAGTCCCCCTCATATTGAAAATTTAGACAATATACCGATTCATTGATTTGTAAACTTTCAATCTTTTTAAATTTAAAACCATTTATTTGTATTTACTATTATTTATTATTTTTAATGGAATTAATTAACTTCTCTAATAAAGAATTGAAATTTAAACTACCATTCGGTCTAATTATTTCCGGACCAAGTTCCAGTGGAAAGAGTACTTTTCTCCTTAAATTTATTACCCAAGCATTAGATTTAATCGATCCCCCTCCTAAAAGTATTCTCTATTGTTTTGGTGAAATGAGTAATATTGTCCCCGTTCTTCAAAAATCTGGTGTAAGTGTATTCGCTGGTGTGCCACCCGAAGATGTAATTAAAAGACTTCCAAAACCTTCACTGGTTATTTTAGACGATTTATTGCTATCTATAGATGAAAAATATTTGTCAGAATTATTTACTAAAAAGTCACACCATCAAAATTTTTCTATAGTATTTGTAACACAAAACTTATTTGAAAAGAAAATTAAAGTTGCCAGACAAAATGCACAATATATAGTTATTATGCGATCACCAAACTCTGTTCTTTCCGTCAGAAACATTGGTTCTCAACTTTTCCCCAAGAAATTGGATTATTTTCTCGATTCCTATCGGCAAGCAACAAGCATTCCTTATGGATACCTATTAATTGATATGCATGCTTCTTCAGATCCAACATTACGGCTTCGTACTAATATTTTTAAAGACGACAACGAAAAAATAATTTTCATTCCTAAAAATGGGGTCTAAATCTCAGTGCAATATTAGTTCACTTATAATGGATAATAAAGATTTTTTAAAATTATTGGCCAAATCTAAATCGGAGAGAAAACGTCATCGCATGCTTAAACAAGCCAATAGCCAACAACTTCTTTCCATCGCTGAAATATGTTTGAATATAGTAAAATCGCGGTATAAACTAACTACTCGCCAGAGAAAACGTCTTTTACCGTATGCTGAATTTGTCCGCCGCATGAGTCGTGCTAGAAGTGAGAGAGGGGCAAGAAAAATTATTTCACAGAAGGGAAGTGGATTTGGAGGGGTCCTTACAGCTCTTCTTACCCCTATACTTATAGAAATAGGAAGAAAAATAATAAAAAGTGATACCGACACAAATTAGTTATTCATTTCATATTATTCATTTAAAAAATTTTAAATAAAAATTTAAAAAATATGGCAAATAAATTCATTCTTGTCCCTGAGGATATTTATCGTGGTCTTACAACCAGTGATGTAGGTGAACCAAATCTAGATTTTACTCGTCGTGCTTTAGAAAGATCTAAAAGAAGAAAAGAAAGTGAATCATTTAAAAATGTACACTATAATCAAGAATTGAGGCGGTATTTACAATTGAGAAATGAACGCGAAAATAGGCCAGTTAAAGTTGAACTTGTTAACAATAAATCTAAAGGGACTATTATACCCAAAAGTAATTCACGGCGCGCATCGTATATTTCTGCAAATGATGAGATAGATAATGACGATAACTGGATTAGTGACAATTCTTTTTCATATTATCCCCAAGAACCCCCTAATCAGGCATACAATATTGTCCCGTCTCTTTCTTCATCTTCAAGTCATTCAACAACTACAAGTGGTCAAAATATAGAACTAGATCCCAGACCTACATCAAATCAAGCTTTAGAAAGAAATTTAAAAAATAATGGTAAAAGAATTAAAATAAAGAGAGTTATAAAAAAGAAAAGAAAACCAAAGAGAAAAACAAATAAAAAATTTTCGCCGACTGAAGATACTGTAGAGCCAGACTCTATTGTAGCATCACAAAATGCACCATTAAGTCCTTCACCTCCTATACCTTTAGAAGTATCAAAAAGAGACCTAGACTCGAATGACTCAAATTTGTATAAGCGAAGAAGAAATAGTAATCCTAAGCAAGAAAGATTGAAAGAGATTGCGCAAGAAGAGAGAAAAAGAAAATTCTTAGAAAGAAAAAGAAATATTAAAAAATATAGAGTCCCTATAGATCAAGCAGCATTAGCTCAAGCTAGAAAGGAAGATGATGTCAAAAGGCGTCAAAAATTAAAAAGAAAATTTGTTATTCCTGAAGGAACTAATCTTATCCCTATTAAAAGAGTTAGAAGACCTGTTACAAAGAAACAATCTGAAATTGCATCAAAAAGTTGGATTAAAAGATTAGCCGCTGCAAGGTTCAAATTAGGAAAAAATAAATGGGCAAAACAAAAACCTACACAAGAGGATATTAATAAATTTAAACCGACACTTTGGTAATTTTCTTTAAAGATGGCCGACTTTACAAAACTTCTCGACAAACTTTATAATGATCCCAATTCTCCTTCAGCTTATGCGGGTGTAGATAGTTTATGGCGGGAGGCAAAGAAAACGTATAAACATATACCAAGAAATGTAATCAAGAATTATTTGGAGGGGCATCGTACCTATACCCTTATGCGCCAAAAGAGGGTGAATTTTAAAAGAAGTAAAACTATTGCAGCAGGCTTTATGACAGATGTACAAGTGGATTTAGCTGATATGCAGTCTCTTTCTAGACATAATGAAGGAAATCGCTATATACTATTGGGAATAGATGTATTGTCCAAAAGAGTCTTTACTACCCCTTTAAAATCAAAAAAATCAGAAGACATGTTGGAAGCCTTTCGTAATCTTATCACTCAAATGCCAATGAAACCCCACAGGATATTTTCAGACAAAGGGACTGAATTTAAAAATCGTTTATTAAAAGAATATTTTGAAAGAGAAGAAATATCAAAATATGAAGCCACTCATTCTACAGTGAAGGCATCTCTCGCCGAAAGGGCTATTAGAAACTTAAAACAAAGACTTTACCGATATTTTTCCCAAAACCACAAACTTAATTGGATAGATACTTTACCAAAAATTATTGAAGGAATTAATAAATCTTACTGTCGTGTGCATGGAATGCGTCCAATAGATGTAAATTTTAAAAATGCCCAAAAAGTTTGGAAGAAAATTTATGGAAATATTTTTTCAATTAAAAATACTAAGAAACCAAAATTCAAAAAAGATGATTACGTAAGAATTAGTCGAGACAAAGGTCATTTCGAAAAAGGCTATCTACCAAATTGGGGAGATGAAATATTAGAGGTGGAAAAGGTTAAAAATCATGTAAATCCTATATTATATAAATTGCGTGACGATAAAGGGGAAAAATTCAAAGGTTCCTTTTATGAAGATGAATTGTCTAGAGTAAGAAAAGATGCGGCAACAGAGTACCGCATAGAGAAAGTTATCCGGAAAAAGAAAAGAGATGATGGAACATATGATATACTTGTTAAATTTATTGGGTACCCAGAAAGAGAATGGATTCATGAATCAGATTTGGTATAAAAGACAAATCATTTTTTCATATTGTATCATTTTAATAAAATTTAATAAAAATGTCAAATAGTTTTTTCGTATTTTTGCCGAGTAATGTCCCTGATTATTCATCAAATAGACCAAATAAATTCCGTGTACATTTACCAAAACCACTTTATTTTAATGGAAATTGGGTGTGTGGATTACACAGTATAAGTTACCCATATTCATGGCCTTCAACTATTGGCACTTTAGATGCACAATGGTTAAAAATACACTTCACAGACGATTTAGGACAGAAGCATATTCTTCGAATACCAATCCCAGGGGCATCACATACCAACGTTCAAAAACTATGTGATTTTTTAAATTCGACCCTTAAACATCAAATTACAGCAATAGACCATGTTTTCGATCCAGATAGGACGCCAAAAGATTTAATTGTTTCCCCTCCGAGACTAGAAAAGAGAATAAAAAGAAATGTTCCTTCCTCACCACCACCACCACCAAAAGAGAGTCAAGTATAAAATTCTTTTTTTTTCAAAAAAATTTTAATTACTTTTCTTAGCTATCATCACCTCCAAGAATAGCAGATGCACAAAAACAATTAAATAACGGTCAAAAGGTTATTATTCCTTCCTCCCCTCCAAAAACAGTGGATAAAAATAGTCAAATATTAAATGAGGGAAATAAAAAAAATAAAACTGACTCAAGACGAACCAAAACAAGAAAAATATGTTGCGCAACCCAATAAAGAGGGAAAAATAAAAACCAATGAGAATGTTCCATCTCAAAAACCTTTAAAAACAGATGGTCAGAAAGTAGAAATAAAGAATGAGAAAAGTCAAACAAAACATGAAAAGGTCATTACACCACCAAACCCTACTAAAATTGAAAAAGATAGAAAAGATCCAGAACCAAAATCATTAGAAAAGATAGAAAATGATAGAATTAAGAAAACAATTGTAACACCTGTCATCACTACTCCTTTATTTTCAATAAGATTAGCAGAAATTGAAGAAGAGGAAAACAATAAAACAAAGAAAGAAGAAGAAGAGTTTGAATTTACCATAGGGAATGAAACTGTGTCGGATAATAATAATTACAGTGATAATTCAAAATTTTTATTATGGAGGGGTGGTATACGATTAAGTGGAAATTTGACACTCATCAAAAATATTATAGACTCAATTAGTTTTGAATACAACATAGATTTTGCCAGATTTAGACTTTTATTTACTCATGAAAATATTGATCATATTTCTTTGTCACCACAATTAGGATACGTTTTAGGATTTGAAAATCTGCAAAGTATTAAAAATAAGGAAGTTGCAAAATATGGATCTGATCTAAGGGGAGGATTTTCTAGTTTTGCTGTATATGCAAACGGTCTTACAGAGAATATGATTATCGGCAATACACTCAGCTCGCTTCTGCGAGTAGTTTCTGTTTCTGGCGCAACACCAGGAGAATATAATGAAAAAATTTATGATACACCTATCTATGCCCGTGTCCTACCTAGAGAGATTAATGAGATTGAGATAGAATTAAGAACTTTGGATAATGGACGATTAGTTCCTTTTGCATACGGAACAGTTTTAATAGTATTAATATTCAAAAAAGTGATAAATTTTTAAAATCCATCGATTTACTGTATTCATTTATTTCTTTTTCATAAATTTAATTTAAAAAATGGTACATATTTTATTCGATACTTCAACAGTCGGTTATGACGACTTTATTCAAACACCCTTAAATATACAAGAAGGAAGTGGTTTAGAAAACACATATACTTATTTCAAAGGAGCGTCCCCTTTTCAAAGAGGATATGGATTACAGGGTGGTGCGGGAATAGGCGATGTTCTTCGAGGACTTTGGCGCTTTTTTCTTCCTATTGTTCGTCGGGTGGGGACGACTGTATCAGCTGAGGCTTTAAACACGGGGCAGCGTGTGTTGGAAAGAGTAAACCAAGGAGAAAATATTAAGGACGCTCTAACTAGCGAGGGGAAGAAGGGGATAGACACACTACTTGAGAAAGGAGGCATGCCAAAACAATTTGGAAGTGGCGGTGGTCAAAGAAAAAGTATAAAAGATAAAAGAAAGTATTCCCACCCAAATCATAAAATCATTATTGGAAAAGTTAACAAAAAACGAATCAGATCAGACGCATTCGGACTTTATTAATTAAATTCAAAAAAAGATTACAAAATGGCATACCACAAAATAGATAAAGATAGTATTAATTCGATTACAAATGCTTTGGATTTTTTTCAAATTCCTCCCACAAATGTAAGCATTTCTTCAGCAAAAGTTTTTGAAATTCTACCAAGTAATCCCCTTACTGATACACCATATCACTTCAAAATACACTCTAGTCAAAATTATATTGACCTCACAAAATGTTACTTATTTACTGAATTCCGCATACGAAAAGAAGGTGCAAACGGCACATGGGTAAATTTAAGCGAAAACGACATCGTTGCCCCTATACAATTAATTGGACATACTTTTATTAATAATATGAGAATTAGTATAAATGGAAGAGAGGTTTTCAACTCCAATTCGTTAATGGCCTACAAGTCTTATCTCTCACATGAATTAAGCTTTTCAGCCGCGGCAAAAAATTCCCACCTAAATGTAGCAGGGTATTATGGAGACACTGGATTAAACTTACAGTCAGGAATAGGATTTAATTCGAGGAAAGCTCGTTTTGGGACAAGCAATACAGCACAGTTTATGGCAAAAATAGATGCCGACCTTTTCAACCAACCCTTATATTTAATTAATCATTGTGAAATAGATATAGAAATTCTCCCTAATGATTCACGTTTTGTTTTAATTGCACCACCAACAGCAGCAGGAATTCCTCAAACAAATCGTTACCGTTTTGAAATAAGTAATTGTAAGCTATATGTGAAGAAAGTCGATATAATGGATGGGTTAGCTCTCGACATAGCAAAAAAGTTGGATATTAGACCCGCAAGATATGCCATAAGGAAGACAATGATGAAACCATTATTTATTAGTCAAGGTCGCTACGAGTTCAATGCAAATTTATTTATGGATCAAATCCCTAGAAGGATAATACTTGGGTTAGTCTCAAATAATGACTACGTGGGAGCTATCGACAGAAGTCCTTTTAATTTCCAACCTTTCAATATAAGAGAAATTAGTATAATTGCAAACGGTCGAAGTTACCCTCAGGCTCCCTATGACTTGGATTTCCACAATGGAAAATTCGCGAGAGCTTTTAATGATATGAATGAGGCTATAGGTTTTTCAAATTCCTTGGAAAGCAACGGGATATCTTTTGAGCAATATGCCTACACACATTGCATTTTTGTTTTTAACCTTACAAATAGTGGCGAGGATCAAAGTGGACTTTTTGATTTAATTAGAAACGGTACAACAGCCGTTAATATAAAATTTAGCCGACCAATTCCTGAAGGAGGGGTGATGCTTATAGTGATGGGTGAAGCTGACTCACTTATAATGCTCGATAAAAATAGAACAATTACTAGTGATACAACTATTTGATTTATCATTTCCTCTATTCTCATTTCATTCATTCTTATTTTAAATTGTATTTTTTAATTATAGAAATAAAAATGTTTTCAAAAAATATTTCTCTTATTATTTTAATATTAAGAATTTTTCTTCCCATATGTGGATTAACAGTTGAAGAAGGGGTTAATATCAAAGAATTGCCTGAATATTCCGAATATTTAAGACAAGTCGCTGAAAGACATATAATTTCAACAACAACGCAAGCTTTGCCAAAGAAATCTGCTATTGGTCCTTTTGCTAATTTCCCCTCTATACAGTTATGCAAGGACGCGCCTTCATCAAGTGAAAATTACTATACCCATGTCTATTGCTGGGTAATGCTCCTTCTTTATGCTTTGCTAGTACTTAGCCTAGTAATTTATCAATTACGCTCAATTGTTTGGCTAGGGAATACGATCCCTAAGAGAACCAATAGAAAAGAAAATAAAGAAAATAAAGAAATAGAATTTAAATTAATAGATGAACAGTATACAGATTACAAAAATATTGGAATCAAATCCACAGACGAATCAAGTTTTCAAAGGATGTCTATCGTGTGACCAACTTCCCGACTACACATCAATACAATACCCCGCAGCATTTATTTTGAACTTGGACCCTCAATATTTAGAAGGATCTCACTGGGTAGCAATATACGCTGAAGGAAAAGAAAGACCAATTAATTATTTCGATAGTTTAACACTTTTTAATACTCAGAAACCTAAAACTGGATGTAAAATTAATAGATTCCTACACCAATTTCCACACATAATTAGAAATTTTAAGCCTTATCAATACCCCTTAGCCAAAACATGTGCCCACCACTGTATTTGTTTTATATATTTTCTCTCTCAAAATTGTACATTTAATGAATATATTAATATGTTAGATAGACTACATAATCCAGATTTATTTGTTAAAAAATTTGTAGATAAAATGATCAAATATTAATTGTTATTAATTACCATAGGATATATTCAGAAATATAGTAATAGATTACAGCCGCATCCAAAGCATTACGAAAATGGTTACTTATAGGGGCGTGGCTAGTTGGTCTAATATATGTCGAAAATAAGGGTAAAACCATTCGAAAAATATTCCCTGTAAAGAACCACCATCATTTTACATTTATTCATACACTTTAATTTATATAAAAAGGAAAAAATTTTTTATTTTTAATTAAAATTATCCCGTTTTTTTTAAATTTAAATTATTAAAACTTATAACCATCTTCACCTCCACATTTATTTCTTTCAACCCTTAACAAATTAACTTTTTTAATTTATTTTCCATTTAATAAAATTTTTCTAATCTAAAATTACACAAATCCGTAGGGGTATAGAACATTTCAACTAATTCTTTTTTATATTAGAATTTTTAACTAAAGACTTTTAAAGAAAATTCTTATTTGAACATATCCTTTTTCATCTTTTGCCATAAGAAATTATTTTTCCATCATTTTCAAAATTCATTCATCAATTTTCATAAATTTCCAAATTTAAGAAAAATCAATAGTTTTATTCTCTTTTATTAATTATAAAAATATTGCAGATTTAGAAACATAATTTAAATTATCTCGATTTTTACTATTATTATTAATAATAATGAGTCCTCCACCAAACAAACGCGCGAAAATTTCCTCCGAAAAATCTCGTGCTTTTTTTATTGAAAACATTCTTTCTTCAAATATTCCTTCATCAACAAATTTAATTGATTTACCGCAATTCGGTCAAGGAAATCCGGCAAAATTCATCACAAGATTAGAGCAACAAGTTATTCATAATCAGAAATTTCGATACACCAAATGTCGAACAAAATTCCATATTAAAGACGTTCCCTCAGACCCTGAAGGGTTGCTTGCTGGTATATTTCAACATTGTATTGATGCATCAATTGCTGAAGCGCGTGAAAAGGGTTATGAAGCCGACCAATTGGGTTGTGTCATTAATAGTGAGTTACTTAATCCGGACGTGTGGATTCCTATTAGACAACTTACTGACAACACGGTTGACTCAATCTTGAACCAATTTCTAAAAGTTGGTCAAAGTAAACAACAACAAGGAATAACGCTGTGGGGAAAGCCATTTGATGTGATAGTAACTACACTTGATACAAAAAATCTTCCAGAACGACAAAAAATTGTTGGAGGCCGTAGGACTGCAACTACGCATCATAGAATTAATACTCAATGCTTGATTAAGGTAGAATAAAATATTTTCATTAAAAAATAACTATTTAAGATTTATAATATTGATGGAAAAAACCATTGTCTATTCTTTGCATTGCAAGCAACCCTTGTTAGCAACATAGAGGGGCTTTCCCGCTCACAATTTTACAATTATTTACACAGTCGATATGGATCTAGAAATAAATTTAAGAAGGAAACCTATGATCTAATTAAAGAAGTTGGAGCTACCTTTGGCTTGAAAGAATATGCAGCAGAGGACTGGGTTGGTCCAGTCGTTGATTATTGGAACAACAAATATAATGGAAAATTTATTTTTAAAGTCTTTATTTTTGGCCCATCTGGAAACTACAAACCAAAATATAAATATGGTCCAGAAAATTTCGATACACCAATTATTATTTACCATGACAACAAGCACTTTGACGGAGTTCAAAAAGTGGGAAATATTTTTGGACAATCTTATTGTCTGTCCTGTGAAATGGTGTATAGTAAGCCCAAGGAGCACACCACAAAATGCCGATCACGATGCTTAAACTGCTCTCAAATAGGACCAAAATTCCCTTGCAAAAAGGAGAACTTTAATAGGTATTTAAGAAAATAATTTGTATTTTTAAATTTTTAATTGTACAGGAAATGCAAAGATTGTTGTAAAACATTTGAAAATGTTGACTGCTTCCTTCATCATTTAAACAGTGGTTTCTGTAGAAATTCCAAACAATGTGAAAAATGTGGTGAAATCTACAACTTCCATGATAACAACAAGAATGGTCGCAAAGGGCATGTTTGTTTCGAAAAATACTGTGGAAAATGTGGGGATTACCATGATCCAAAAAGAGGGTGCTACATAAAACCTCTTAACCCCAAACAACTAAATCCATATCGATTGGTTGCATTTGACTTGGAAACAATGCAGCATAGAATTACAAATCCTGCAAGACAGCAAAGAATTCATGAGACCAATTTTATTGCAGCAAAGATTGTTTGTCCAAAATGCATTACAACAGGAGAATGGAAAAGAAGTTTAAAAAATGGAATTTGCAAAGTGTGCGGCCCTCATCGCACAATAACATTTTCACATCAACCGTACAACGATACTATTTCCGATCAACAAATTATTACACAAAATCCTTTAGAAGATTTTGCCCTATGGATATTATATGGCCTTCCAAACAACTACGACACCTATGTATACTCACATTTTGGTGGACGTTTCGATATGGTTCTTGTTTTTGAAAAATTATACAACCAAAATTTAAACCCGGATTTAATTATGAAAGGCAACAAACTTTATGAAATGAAAGTGGCAAAACGACCAAATTCGAATCCTAACGTCGTATTTCGAGACTCCTATAATTTAATGCCTATGGCTTTAGCAGCGCTTGTCCCAACATTTGGATTGGAAGTAGAAGACAAACCATTTTTCCCCCACTTGTCAAATAGACCAGAGAACTATGGAAAGAGAATTTTCCCTTCAAAAGAAGATTACCTGGCAGACGGAATGATGCCCAATAAAAGAAGAGAATTTGATGTATGGTATGAAGAGAATAAGCATACTCCTTTCCTATTGGATGAAGAATTAGCAAGTTACTGTACTAATGATGTAGAGATATTAATGTGTGCGCTCATTGCCTTTCGCAATGAGTTCTTCGAAACAACAAAACGACAATCCCACAATGGTATTGATGCTTTGCGGGAGTGCATGACTATTGCAAGTGCGTGTATGAAACATTTCCGCACAAACCATCTTCAAAAAGAACATCTGGCAATAGTCCCTGAAAGAGGGTATGAAAATGTGGACAACCAAAGTCTTCTAGCTCTAAAATTCTTCCAGTGGTACAGCGAGAAAAACAACGTTGAAATCCAAACAGCACATTGGAAAGGTGAAAAGGTGGTTGGAAAATATAAATTGGATGGATGGATAGAAGATCAACAGTTGGGGATAGAAGTTAATGGTTGTGCTTGGCACGGATGTAAGGGATGCTTTCCATATGACAACATGATTCTACCTAATGGTCTAACAGCAGGGAACAAACGACAAAAGGATAAAGAAAGGATGGAATATATTCTGACACAGATACCAGAAGTAAAAGTTTATTGGCAATGTGAAATTGAAAAAATGTTAAGAAGAGATAGAGAAATGAAGAAGAAATTTGATAATTATTTGGATGAGGGACCTTTGGAAATTAGAGATTGCTTTTTTGGAGGACGCACCGGTCCACTTAAACTATTTCATGAAGCAAAAGAAGGGGAAAAAATTTCATATTACGATGTAACTTCGCTTTACCCATTCACCAACTTTATTACCAACTACCCTATTGGACACCCAATTGTCCACAATTTAAATGAAGAAGTAAATTGGACAGCATCAACAGACAACAAATACCCTCTGGCACTTTTGAAAGTATTTGTTATCCCCCCAAGAAAAATTGATATTCCAATACTTCCTGTAAAATTGGATGAAGAACGATTACTCTTCCCTTTGTGTGCGAGATGTGCTAAAACACATCCAAAAGGCGGCAGAAATGAAGTATATAATTGTCGACATAGTGATAGAGAAAGAGGTTGGGTTAGCACGTGCTCCTCCATCGAATTAAACGCAGCATTGGATGAAGGATATATTGTCACCAAAATATATCGTGTATTAGAATATACACAATCAGACAGCGAGCTTTTCCGTCCTTACATGCGGGAATTCCTAGCACATAAAATACATTCTTCGGGGTTTGATGAGAGAATAAGAGGAAATAGAGAAGAAGAAGAAAAATTTGTAAAAGAATGTTGGGAAATGTTTGGAATGAAGATAGAAAGGGAAAAGATGATGCCAAATAAAGGAAAGAGAGCAATTGCAAAGCTGGCTGTAAATAATCTCTGGGGGCGTTTTTCTTTGAGAAACCATGGATTCACGCAAACACACATTACAGACGACATTGCAGAAATTGGAGAATTCATTCAAAACAACTCCATTGAAATAGCTGCAATTGAAGAACTAAATAGTGAAACAATGATGATTCGTTATTCAAAAAAGAAGGAATGGATAGAAGAGCATGACAGTTCAAATGTGGTGATATCGTTATGGACAACCTCTGCCGCACGCTTGCACCTGTTGAAACTGATGCAAAAAGTAGTACGAGCACCTGGGTGTTCACTGCTTTACACTGGTATATTTTCTTAAACTTTTTTCGAATTTTAATTTTATTATTCAGATACTGACTCATTGATCTTCGCCCACCCCGAAAACAACAATCCACTTGACCTTGGGCCACATCTTGGCGATTTAACTGATGAATACCCCCATCATGAAATTCTTGAATATTGTAGTGGTGGTGCAAAGCAATATGGATTGAAATTGAGAAGAAGGAATGGAAATGATGACTGTGAATATGTCCTAAAGGTGAGAGGGATGACGCTTAATTTTGATATTGTGAATAATCAAAACCTAAGATACGAAACTTTTAAAAATTCTGTAATTGATTATGTTAAAAATGGCAATCTCGACCCTATCTTTGTAGTTTACCCCAACTTTTTACGCCCTTCAGTTGTAAATAGCTCAGTTATCTCACAACCTTTTCATAAAATGTATAAGCCTTTTGTTGGCAAGGGTATCATACGCCCGAGCGATTTTTCTGTGTTAAATTTTGGCTATGTCTCTAATTAATTTATTTTTTTGTTTTGTATTTAAATTTGAGTACTCTTTTTCCTTATCTATATTTTTGTCTTTTTACACTTTTTTTCTATTTTTTTTCATAATATTTATTTAATTCAATAAAAAATTAACATTTTGGAAATACTATTTTGAAAAAATTAAGAAATGGAAGAAATCAATTTTAGGGGTAAAAATGCATAATTAGTAAGCAGAAGATACTATTTTGGAAAAATTAAGAAATAGAAGAGACACATTTATTTTATAATTTAAAACTAAGAAATGGGAAATAATATTTTGGGAAAATTAACATAGGGAAGTTATCGATTTTAGGGGTGAAAAAGCATAATTAGGGGTCAGAAGATACAGTTTAGAAAATATTATAGAAATGAAGATACAAAATACTGGTTTTTGGTGTTTTTAAGTAAAAAAATAGGCAAAATAATTGTAAAAACGTATATAATATGTGTGTGAATATCGTATGCTAGTAAAATTACCAGCCGTGCATGTATTCAAAGTCATCTTCTGATTGGCTAAATTTTCTTCCTCCATAACAAAGATTATCGTCGTAGTCGGAAAGAGGCACAGGTGTTGTTACATCAAAATCCCTTTCAGATTGTTCAGAAGTTGATTGAGTTGTTTTATCAATAAAAATATTTGCCATCCACCCAGATAAAGGTTCTTCCTCCACTAATTCTAATAATTCCAAAGGGTAATATCTATCTTCATGGGTTTGTCGTTGAACTACACACAAATGATAAGGGTGATTGAGTCGTATACGATGTCGGGCGTAAAAATGTGCTGCCACATTAACATTAAAAGGTGATGAAAGTCGTCCATAAGCCAGAATACTATTTGCTCCATTTCGACTCAAATCATCAAAAAATAAAGTTTTGCTCATCCCATTATTATCCAAATAAGTTGTTTTTAATTTCTTTCCCTTTAGTTGTTTTAAAATTTTATCACGATTTGAAGGGTGAATAAGTTGATAGCGCAGTGAAGTAACACTGCATTTTAAAATTTTAGCAATTTCATCAATCAGGAGCACCATTTTTATTAAATAATGAATAATTCAAATATAGGAAAATTTTTAAAATGATTTTGGAAAAATGAAAGGATTCAAAACCCTTCCTACCCCCTACCCCTGCAATACATTCATATACCATCCGATTCCACCCCCTACCCCCAACAATCTTAAGCTTTAACCGACTTCCACTCAAAAATAAAAATCATTTTGAATTATTGCAAAAAAATGAGTCAGATTATTCCTGAATTTAATCCATCCATTCCTCCTCCTGCTCTTCCTTTGAAGCCTGAGAATTTAATACCAAAAACACTTTTCCCTGAACAACTTCTTTGGAAACTAGTGAAAGGGAAAACTGTTCTCCAATACCACCTTTGCTTTGGTGAATTATTATTTATTTTATTAATTTTAATTTTGAATTTTAGAATGCCAAAATCGACTGTTCAATTCAAAAGATAAAGTAATGCGCAATGGTGAAAGAGTGGTTATCAAAATCGAACTTTGCGACGACTGTGTCAAAGAAAATTGTAATGCAACTGATTTGCTATCAAACAAGAGAAAGAAAATAGAAAACAAAACTTAAAAATATTGAATTAATTTAATTTAAAAACTTAATGTAATGATTAAAACTTTAAATAAATATTTTTAAAAATTTGTATATTTATTTTGATAGTCCCTTCTTTCTTCCTTTCTTTCCCTTTCTTTTTCTTTCTTTTTTATTCTTTCTTATTTTTGATCCATTACCAATTTTTTCCTTTCACTTTTTAAAAACATCTGGCTTTTTTTTGTTCGAGATGCGCCGGATAAAATCTCAAATTTTGAATAATTATTGTAGAAAGGCGAAGAAAAGAAAGGGCAAAGAAAAGGGGTACAAGATAGGGCGTGGAAAATGGGTAATTGGAAAAATAAACAATAAAAAATAGAGAAGATTGGCAATTGTTTTTCTTTCATTATTTGGCATGAAATATTGTTTTTAATTTTTGTTATTCAAGTTTATTGTTGACTTTAAAATTTTTTAAGTTTCTATTATTTTTAATTTTCTGAATATTTTTTAAGTTAATTATTTAAAATTATTACATCAAAATGTCCTTTATTCAATCTTCTTCTTCCTCCTCGTCCTCAGCCTCGTCCTCTTCGTCTTCATCCTCTTCTTCCCCAACAACTAATTTGCCTGTTTTTGGTCCGAAAACGGCACAAGAATCGGCTAAAGAGGTCGCAGAAGCCCGACGCATTGCTGAACAGCGTCGTGCTTCTGAGCAAGAACGTTCGATAAGAAGAAATGAAATTATTCGAGGAATAATCAGCCGAAGAGAACAGACTCTTACAGCTCGAAGGCGTCTTATGTTTGAAGGTTTTTATCTTTCTTTTTTCCTTTTTTTAAAAGTTTTTTCTAGTTGTTATTCCCGATTTCGATGATGTGGATTCTGGGGATGAAGAAGAGTATTCCTCTGATGAGGATTCGGATGATGAGAGCCTCATCAAAATTCCTAGGGCTGCCACAGCAAATGGTAACTCTAGGGAGCAGTATTCTGATGAAAAATTATAATTTATAGGAAGAATGCGTCAAATTCAACAATTGGGGCGCCGGCGGGATTCAAACAGAAAAATAACAACGGATGAACCTCTTCAGTGGTTTGAGCCTGAAAAGAAGATCCCTGAGAAACAGGACAAATGCCATGGATGTTGGGAAGATGGTTGCGCGTCCATTATTTGTTATGGAATCTGTGGCCATCTTTCGTTCTGTGAAGTGTGCGCCAATAAGGCTTGTAGGGTTGCTTTTGGAGAAAATTTTTATCCTGTATGTCCCCTTTGTCGTTTACAGACTCCCTTTTTTAAAACAATTTCTGGCAAAATTTGTAGGGGAAATAATTAAATTTTGAAAAATTAAGCGGACAGACATTTTCGGAGGGAAATAATTTTTAAATATCTTCGATTTTGAAAGCAGTGAACTTTAGGATGGATTTTTAGTCACGTTATCTTTTTCCTATTTAAAATGAGATAAAAAAGTGTTCACTGTTATTATTTAAATGTCTGTACGCAAATTCTTCTCTTTTCGTTTTGTATTTTTCCTAAACACTTAATTCGACTAATATTACCCCTAATTATGACTTATATTCACTTATTTAGATACGATAGTTGTATTATTTTATTTTATATTTTATTTAATTTATATTTCATTTATTTTCTCTATTTATTTCCTTTTATTTTATTATTTTATATTATATTTTCTCTATTATTATAATTTATTTTCTGTTTTTAAGATTTAAACATGATTTATTTTTATTTATTTTTAATATTTAAATTATTGAGATTGAATAATTATTACCTGACACCCCAAATTCTGAATAATTATTACCTGACACACAAATTCTTATTATACATTCTTACTCCTTTATTTAATTCTTATCTATTTTACTTTTTATTATTAATAATATGACCTGCAAGAAATATTTTTGACGACTAAATATTAATTTAAATTGCTATCTTATATATTAATTTTCCAATAAAATTTTTAAAAAACTTATTATGTAAAGTCTGAGACGGCAAATCGATGAAATGGTTGAGCGGACTCTAAGTATTTTTTATAAAAATATTTATTTTCTCTTCTTATTTTTACAAACAACCAATAGAGTAATGAGTGAATTGGCGTTTCTAAATTTTTATTCTAATATTCAATAATAATATTTAACTATTTAACTTATTTTATTTAAATAAAATTCGAAATTAAACTAAAAAATATATTTTATCCAAATATATGAGAAAAATTTTTAAAATAACCAAATACAATTTACTAAAAAACAAAAGGATAGTAAACGAAATTAAAAAAAAAAGAGTTTAGCAAAAGTTTAGCCACTGGTTAGGATTTGAAAATTAAAAACATAAGAGTTTAGCAAAAGTTACTTTCGCATTTTAGCGTTTCGCTTTTTAAAATCTGTTTCGGCACACCCCTCAAATTCGAGTCAAAAATAATAAAAAATTAATATAACAAATCCCAACCTTAACCTCCAAACTAAATTTCCCACACTAGTCAACCTTAGAACAGAATGTTTCAATCACATCGTTTCATTCCAAACTAAATCGTTCCTGATCCCATCCAACTAACCCGGAAACAAAAACAAAATAATCTTAAAATTATTCAAAAATTAATAAATTAACAAAACAATTAACAAAAACAATTAAGATTGTTTTGCTAATTTATTTAATTTTTGAATTTTTTTAAGATTATTTTGTTTTTGTTTCCGAGTTAGTTGGGTAGGATCAGTATTGATTTGAGAGTTGGGGTTAAAAAGTGAGGGAAATTTAGTTTGGAGGTTAAGGTTGGGATTTGTTATTGTTAATTTTTCTACAATTTTAATTACTTTTTCGTTTCGTGAAACGTTACAAATGGTCTCTAGAGTCTTTTTGACCCCTTCTTCAAAAAAATAATCTGTCAATGTCTGCGGAGAATCGGCAATTAGATCAATTGAATGCCATGTAGGAGTAGTAAAGTATGCCCATTTTACTAATAATTCTGTCACATCACCCTCTTCATTTATTTTTGAATCAACCACCTTTTCAATCTCCCAGAAGGTTACACCATTACTTACAGAAATAGGTAAAACTGGGACCTTTGAATTTTATTTTAATTATTACTAATTATTTTAAAAAAATATTATTTATTTGTTATTTATATATACATGATTTCTATTCTTTACTTTGATTTTATATTTTTTACTTTAGAAAGTAAAGAATAGAAAATCAAAGGAAACAATAGAAACATTCAAGTTTATAAAGAATAAAAATAGAAAAAAGAAAATCGAGAACGTCTCTCGACGTTCAAGATTTAAAATATAAGAATAGGAAGAAGAAAATCAAGAACGTCTCTCAACGTTCAAGATTTATAACGAATAAGAATAGAAAAAGAAAATCGAGAACGTCTTTCAACGTTCAGGATTTATAAAGAATAAGAAAATCAAGAACGTCTCTCAACGTTCGAGATTTATAATAGGAATAGAAAAAAGAAAATCGAGAACGTCTTTCAACGTTCAAGATTTATAAAGAATAAGAATAGAAAAAAAGAAAATCGAGAACGTCTCTCAACGTTCAGGATTTATAAAGGAAAGAAATAGAAAAAGAAAATCGAGAACGTCTCTCAACGTTCAGGATTTATAAAGGAAAGAAATAGAAAAAGAAAATCGAGAACGTCTTTCAACGTTCAGGATTTATAAAGGAAAAGAATAGAAAAAGGAAAATCAGGAACTTAGCTCAACTAGAGACCGGAATAACGCACTGAACGGTATTCCATACTGAAATACCGAAAAATACCGATAAAATTCAGAATTATACCGTATTCCTACCGTATTAGTAATACCGATAAATACCGAAAAATACCGTCCGGTCTCTACTCTCAACGTTCAAGATTTTAAAGAAAACGAATAGATTTTAGCCATTTTTGAATTTTGTCAAATTAAAATTTATTTATAATAAAATTTACCCCTTCCTCATTGAGCTGAGAATGTTTTTCAAGAAGAATAGGACATTCTGAAGGTTCATGTCCAATTATATCACAACATTTTTTTGTAGCAGCTTAATATTAGGAAATTAAAAATAAAATTTACAAATATTTAAATATTTCTCGGAAGAATATTTTCTCTTCGAACATTTTCGATTATTGAGCGGTCGAGTCTCCCTCATTTCTCCTATTAAAGAGGAAACAGACTCTTTCCCCCTCTTTTCCTTCCTCTTCTTTTCCTATATTAGTAAAAGAAAGAAAAAGAGGAGAGGAAAAAAATTTCATATGTATACCCATGCGGTCTATTCCTTTTTTTAATTTAGGGGGTCAGGACCAAAAAAAAAAGAAAAAATTTTAATAGGATATCGACCCTGTCTACACATGGTGCAGCAAGAAAAAGAATTAAAAAAGAAAAATAAAAAAGACCAGAGGAAATGCCGTCAGCAGCACTGTTGATTGGAGAGCGAGATCTAAAAGATTAGATTATTTTATCTTCGGTAAAATTATTATAAAATTATTTTACATAACAGAAATTATTAACCTAGAATATGTACGAGACGATTGACCACTATCAGAACGAATTCGACGCCCGATATTTCGTTGATTTTGAAATTGAGGTGTAGCATTACTAAGCTTTATAGCATTGGTAAAGTCCTTTGCCACCCTAGGCAAATAATGGCGTAGTTTTGTTGGTGGTGAATTTTCTTCTTCTTCTTCTCCAAAATTATTTTCTTAAAATACAATTTAAATTTTTTAGTTTTGCATTTAATATTTTTTATTCAATTTATTTAAATACCTGGAGTTGAATTACTGCGAGAACGTGTTTCTATTTTGAAAATTTAATATTTTTTATTAAAATTCTTAAAATTAATTACCTCTCTTATTTTTCTTCTTTTTAGAAACATTTTTTATATTCTTCTTCTTAACTTCCGTTTTTATTATTTTCTTCTTCTTCTTCTTCTTTCTTTCTACTTTAACCTCTTTATTTTTATTATTTATTTCTATAATTTATAGATATTTTATTTTTTAAAAACTTAAGAATAAAAATAACCTTTCATTTCAGAAGATTTTAAGACAACTTCATCATAAACTTCAGAGTCGTCTGATGATAGGTCTTCCCCTTTCCCTTGAATTGCTAAAAAATTTTTGATTTTTGTTAGCAAATTTATTTATATACCTTTACTTGTATTTATAGGATCAGTATCTATTAATTTAATATTTAAATTGATTAAAATGAAAAAAAAAACGTACAACGGAACCCGTCATCTTCGGACGACGGGTCACAACAAGAGTCAGATGAGTAGTTCATCTTAAATAATTCTATAAGTTTAATTTTTTAAATATAATACAGAAATTATAGTTTGGTTACACACCCCATTTATTCGCAAAACAACGCAATATTGGCCATTTATTCGCCAACAACCCGTTTATTCGCAAGCACCCAACAGACAAGTTATTGTGTACAAAAGAGACCCGTTGATTCCCGCAAAGAGACCCTTTGATTCCCGTTGATTCCCCCTGACTATAAGTTCAATACTATATACTTCTCAATTTCGGGTAAATTAGGGAAGGGGCTTAGTTTAATTAAAAATTTAAATTATTTAATCTTATTATTCTTTTTAATATTTAAAAAATACCTCAAAAATAAATAAGAAGAAAAATTTTTTAAATATAAAAAAAATTATTCACTTTTGTTGTTGGTAATATTGATCAAAAAAATTTCAGAATTTTTGGTTAAAAAATAGAAGATTTTTTAAAAATCCAAAAAATTGATTCCACTGTTGCTGTAATATTGAACCGGACAGACTGTTGTTTTAGCAATAAGCGATACCCTCTATTTAAAATACCACAAAAAATTTCAGAATTTTTGGTTAATAAAAACTAAAATAAAAATTTAGAAATTTTATACAACTGTTGTTGTTTAAGTGATACCCTCTATTTAAAACACAAACATAAATAATAAACTAAAATATTTTTTAAAAATCTAAAAAATTTAAATCAATTTATAGAATTGAAAAAAGTTATGTATGTGGGAAGGCATAATGTCTAGGTCAAAAAGCTAGGTGGGTGTATGAATAAGAAATCAATACTTGTACACCCACTGCTTTTGACCTTAACATTATGCCGCCCACATACTAAATGTTTTTTTGCTTGGAAAAATTAATAGTTATGGACAGAGTCTACTCTCAAGCGAAGCTAGAGAGTGGAGACAGAGTTCTCTCTCTAGCTTCACTTGAGAGTGGACTCTGCCCATAAACACCTTTTATATATTGATTAATATTAAAAAAGGTATTTTTTAAATAAAAAAGAAAAAAAGTTTTAGATCGATGCGCGAAAATCACCGTCGTGGCTTTTTGCGAAAATCACCGTCGTGGATTGCGCGAAAATCACCGTCGCGGATTTTTATAGCGGAAACCATTTGTAATTATTTATGTAATTTTTGCCGGCTTCATCAAAGCCGACAATTACAAATTGCGGCAAGATAAACCGTTAATATACCCCTTTACAAGGTTTTAATTGTCCAGCTGTCAATAATTGTTTCTAAACAGTTGTAGACCAAATGTCCTTTTTGTGACAGCCGCGACGGTGAGGGTGGGATAACTACTTTTATTACATAAAAAAGTACCCGTTTTTCAAATCCTTGTAAAACTTTTTTAATAATTTTATTGTTTGCAATTTCAATTACAATTTTGCTTTTTAATAAAAATTTTGGATTTGTCCGGCGAACATTTAATTCAATATTATTAAAAATATTTGTATCGAGATCCAGAAAAACCAAACGTATGAATCCCTCCATATTGTAATTGGAACCGAAATATCTATTATTATTCTTTTCGATTGTTTTCACAACAAAACGCTCATTCAGTTCAACATTTTTTAAATAAATAAATTCTCTTTTTTCTTCCCAATCACACTTGATTTTTAATGAAACACGAATTAATTTTCCTACGCATTGAATATTCAATAAAATATTTAAATATATGATTATGTACAAATTAAATTTAATCATCTGAAATTTTGTGTTAATAAAGCCAAACACAATTTGTTTAAAAAAGGTCACTAAAGCAAACACAATTTGCTTTAGTGACCACTGGTAGACACAAATATATTTAGTGACGGTTGGCAGAGATGTGCGCTAATTTTGAAAATTTAAAATTTATGTAAGAAGGGTTTTGTGGAAGGGTGCTGGAAGGGGGTGTTTTTGGAGAAGGGTGTTCATTAAACAACTTTTCCAGTCCAAAATTCTCAAAAGTCATAACAGAGATTATTATTTTCACAATTTTAAAAATTATGGATTATTTTAATCGAATTTTTTTTTATTTTTGTTATAAAACAACGTCTATGTTATTTGTAAAAATGTGTAATGTCAAATTTTTAACAAATTAAAATTATTTTTAATTGTTTTACCGAAAATGAATAATATAGTGTTTTTAACTATTGGGAAATGCTAAATAAATAGCATAGAGTCGCAATACAATCAAAGCATCACTAGACATTGACTAATAAAATCCCGTGGCTAAAATACATATCTAAAATTGATGTATACTGTTGATTTTACAAAAACCGCGCTGTTATTTAATTTTAATAAATAACAAAAATAATTTTTTTAATTTTTCAATAAATTTAAAAATGAATAAGGTAACATTTAAGGTATTAAAGAAATACACATAGATGCGCACATCAATCAAAGCACAAATCGAATAATAAATACCTATGGCAATATACTTAAAGTGCAATTATTAATTTCGAAAGGTTGCCTAAGTAAAAAATAAATAAATAATAAAGCGGTATATTTTAAAATTTCTTTAATGTTTATCAAGTAAAAATGATAAAGTACTTTAACAATTTTGAAAGAATCTGTTTGTTTACTGAATTAAAATGTTGAAGATTTTAAACATATTTTAATAAAATATTGTAATTTTTTTCTAGAATATGTCTAAAGGAAAAATGTACTTTTTACAACAAAAAAAGTATAAGACCGACAAATTTTTTAATAAGAATAATACCTACTACAATAAGTTGCCAGATCAAATATTACTTTAACAAGTCAAAATTTCGGGGGGAAAATAGCTGACTAAAATCGTAAATGCTATTTAATTTATAAAACAAACAATTTTTAAATACTTTCCTTACTTGCTGTGTCAGATATTCTGTTTTAATTATTCTATGAAACAAAATATTTTTTGTTTGTTTTATAAATTAAATAGCATTTACGATTTTATTCTGGTATTTTTCCTGAATTTGTGACTTGTTAAATAATATTTCATCTGGCTACTTATTGTAGTAGGTATTAGTGTTATTCAAACGCGATTTTTCGGTATCGGTATCGGTATTTTCGGTAAAATACCGATACCGAAAAAATACCGATTTTTTAAAAATTGTTCGGTACCGTATTCTGTATCGGTATTTCGGTAAAAACACCGAGGTATTACCGAAAAATACCGCGGTAATACGGTACCGTGAATAACACTAGTAGGTATTATTCAGGGCTCTCATTCGTACTTTATTTGAAAGTACAGTACTTTAAAATCGACCTCCGTACTTACAAAATTGAATTTGTACTTTATTGAAAGTATGTACTTTAAAATCAACATTTTGGATTGAAAATGAAATTAGGGAAGGATTGGGCAAAAAAGTGAATTTCTAAGGCCTATGGCCTTAGAAATTCACAAAATTTTCGCCTGCGGCGCTGAAAAAGGAAGAAATCTAGCTTCTTGGGTCTAAATTTCAAAAAATTTTCGCCTGCGGCGCAAGAAATTGAAGAACTTTAGCTTAAGGACCTCCAAAATTCTCAAAATTTTCGCCTGCGGCGCTGAAAAAGGAAGAAATTTGGCTTCTTGCGTGCCAAATTTAAAAAATTTTTGTCTGCGGCGCTAAAAATGGAAAAAATCTGTCTTAAGAACCCCGAAATTTCCCAAAATTTTCGCCTGCGGCGTTGAAAAAGGAAGAAATTTGGCTTCTTGCGTGCCAAATTTAAAAAATTTTTGTCTGCGGCGCTAAAAATGGAAAAAATCTGTCTTAAGAACCCCGAAATTTCCCAAAATTTTCGCCTGCGGCGTTGAAAATGGACGTAAGAAAGTAGCTTGCTTGAGGTTAAGACTGTCAGGGCTTTACTTCTTGTGACAGCAAATTTTGACATGTCCTGTATGAAATGCACAAAATGCTCAGTGGAAACAAGAAATTATTAGAAAAATTAATTTAGGAGAGAAATATAAAAGATTTGAGGACGAATAAATATTTTATAATTTAATTTTGAGTGTCCTTTAAATTTGGAAATTTTGTCCCTATGTACTTTAAAATCGAGATTTTTGTACTCTTGATTGGTATTTTGTCGATGAGAGCCCTGGTATTATTCATCTTAAAAAAGTTTAGCGCTCTTTTACTTTTTTTTTGTTGTAAAAAGTAAATTTTTTCTTATACATAACCGAGAAAAATTACAATATTTTATTAAAATATGTTTAAAATCTTCAACATTTTAATTCAGTAAACAAACAGATTCTTTCAAAATTGTTAAAGTACTTTATCATTTTTACTTGATAAACATTAAAGAAATTTTAAAATATACCGCTTTATTATTTATTTATTTTTTACTTAGGCGACCTTTCGAAATTAATAATTGCACTTTAAGTATATTGCCACGGGTTTTAATTATTCGATAATTTGTGCTTTGATTGATGTGCACATCTATGTGTATTTCTTTTATACCTAAAACGTTAACTTATTTATTTTTAAATACATTTAAAAATTAAAAAATTTATTTTTGTTATCTATTAAAATTAAATAACAGCGCGATTTCAGTAAAAAGCAACAGTATATATTCAATTTTAGGTTTGTATTATTCAAGATAGTTTTGCGTTTCAGTAATAAATTTGTTATATTTGTTCTATTGTATAGTATTTATTAATAGCTGAGGAAAATTATTAACAAATATATGATTAAAATGCTTGAAATTATCAGTGCTTCCTTGAAAGCTAGCACTTATTCTGAAACAGCCTAACTTCCATTAATGAAAGTCTATTAGTTTTATGTGTTTAGATTGATCTTGCTTATTATTAATCCCATTATCCATTAATATTTTATATTTTTAAAAATTTTAACTCAGGCTACACTTAAGCATACTATGATATGATTTTTTATCTCTTCTTTAATAGGTCTTGCTTTAGGTCAAAGCCTTTTCACGTCTTGCACGTGACTTGCATGTTCAACCATTCAAAAACATTTGAAGGAGTTTGCGGTATCAGTAAAATAAATAATTGTATCCATATAAGACATCAATTCTTCAACTTCTGTGCTTTCAATTCATTGATT